GACAAAGGCAACACAATGGAGAAAGAAAAATCTTTGCAGAAAATTGTGCTGGAACAACTGGATAAATATATTTAACAAGTGAGCGTGGACCTCTAGCTTATAACAGAATCTGAAAGCTAATTTGAGGTCATTCTGGATCTAAACATGAAAACTAAAATTATAGCATTTCTAGAAGAAAATATAGGAGAACATCTTTATGAATTTGAGGTAGTCAAAGATTTTTAAGGCAACTCTCAAGCAATAACTATAAAAGCAAAAATTAAATTTTTGGTTCAAAATTTTAAATTCAATTTAATTAATCATCAAAGTTATAATGTGCTCATTAAAGTTACTGCTTTGTAAATGAAAAATAGAGTCATAAAATGTGATATAATGCTTATAGCACACACATTTGATAAAAGGCTTATACCTGAAACTAATAAAATGCATCTGTAAATATAGAATGTAAAGACAATAACCTTTAAAATTATGGGCAAATATTTAAACAGAAACTTTACTATAAAAGATATACAAATGTCCAACAAGCACTTGAAAAGTAGCTGAACCTCATTAGTTATCAACGATATACAACTAAAATCATAGTAACTTATCACTTCACCACTTCCAAAATGGTGAAAATTGTGAAGACTGGTAAAAATCAACGTTAATGAGCAGGTAAAGTAACTGGAACTCGAATACACTTCTGGTCAAAAGGTAAAATGACATAACCAGTTTAGAAAAACATTTGACAGTTTTTATGAAGACAAATACATGCCTTCCCTATAAGCAATAAATTATCCTCTAGTTATTTGCTCAAGAAAAGTGAAAATGTCAGTCCATAAAAATTAACTTATACAAAAATGTACATAGAGAATATTTTCATAAGGATTCCAATCCAAAATCACCCAAATGTCCCCAGAGAAGAATGAATAAACAAATGGTGTTATAGGCATAGAACAAATCAATCTTAGCAATAAAAGCAAATGAAAAATTGAAACAGCAATATATATGAATCTTTATAACCATTATGATATGTGATGGAAGCTAGGTATAAAATTATATACACTGTGTGGTTCCATTTACATGAAGTTAAAAGATAAGATTCATCCATGGTGATAGAAATCAAAACAGAGGTTGAGAATTGCCTGAAATGGGTCATGAAAGAACTTTCTGGGGTGATGGAAGAACAATCCAGGAAAATTTGCATTAACCACTATCAAAATATGGCAAACCTATGTATTAATATAGTGATTTTTGGCATAGGAATAGACAAGTAAACCAATAGAAAAACTTGAGAACATTACATTGTTTTTTCTATTGTGTGTGTGTGTGCGTGTGTGTGCATGTGCATGTGCATGTTTATGGCTTGTAATATGTACAAACATTGGCTACAGTCCCAAAAAAGGATCCCCAAACCCCTTTTAACCCAAGAGCATGCTTTTGCATTCTGACAATTAAGTAATTCCCAAAATGTCCAAGTTTCCCCCTAGTAAACATACTTTTTTCTTAGTTTTAGAATTTTCTTCAAAAGTAGTTCTTTGATTTTATTTGGCTAGTTTTGAAACAACTATTTCCAACATTGTATCATATATGGCACTTTTGGTAAGCATTCTTGTATATCTTGATTTTATTAAATTCTTATATTTTATAAAAGCTGCCTTTTTTCCCATGTTGACATTTTTTGCTCTCTCAAGTGAATATATTTGGTTATTTTCCAGGTCCCTTGGCCCTTTTGATGATTTTTCTTAGACTTTCTCTGAATCATTTTGGATCGATTTTAGACTTTCTCTCCATAGTTTTATTTTTTTCAGTTTTACTTTCTTTCAACTATTGCCCACATTTTCTGTTAGTTTTCATTTTCAAAATTACATAATCACAAACTGAATTCCTTTAGAATGTTAACGTTGTTGTACACTAAACAGTATTCCTAATAGTTCACCTACAGTTACCTCTTGCAGAACTTCTGGGTCCCAATTTAGGATAAAAATTGTCAGATAGAAAAGAAGTTTCTCTCCAAAGATTTAGCTTGTTCAGCGTCTTTGTTCTTTGTTCCCCACTTTCAAGGCCAAACTAACTTCCTTATACTTTGTACCTTCCTGTCTTGGTTTCAGTAAACCGCTTTCCCACTGGTCCTTATTTACAGAGCCCACATCTGCTACCCACTCTGTAAATTACCCCTCCTGTTGCAATGGCTCTTCCTGCAGAAACTGCCCTTCTTACTAGGGTAACCTCATTCCTGCACCTTTTAAGTTAGCCAATCAGGTTCAGCTTAGATTGTGCAGTCCAACTCCAGCCAGTGGAAGCAGGACACAGTAGCAGGGAGAAGCTGTGTTAAGAATAAAAACCCCTTCCCTCCTTTGTTTGGTGTGCTCTCCTGGCAACCAGGCTTGTGAGTAGTACCCTTCTGCAGAAGTAAATTTGCCTTGCTGAGAAATCCTTTGTTTAAGTGCTCATTTTCTTTGCAACTCCAAGCCTTACTTCCAACAAACACCAGGATTGTTTCCTCTCTTTTATATTCAAAATCCTTGCTCTAAAAAATTACCATTTTACCCAAAACCTTTCCTTCAATAATCACTTTTTTTGGATTATTGAGTTCCATCATAAACATTATATAGCATATCTTTTAATTTTCTCAAAACTCTTTATCAGCTTAAACTCATTGACCTTATCACATGCTTCCTAGTGATAACTGTCATAGCATTTTTACTAAACTAGGAATATTTACACAATGAGTTTATAATAATCCTTGTACTTGGCATATGATATTCTCATGGCATTCATATTTTCCCTTACAGGCAATTTTTTTTCTAGCTACTCACATTTACTATAGCATGTGTGCATTTCTTAGAAATGTCACCAGATTTTTGGCATGGCAATCATAACACAGAATTAAAGGAACATTGGAAGTAAAGGTATATTTACAATTTATAATTTCAATCTTTTGTTCTTAAAAGAAAAGAACTAAGTGCAAAGTTCTAATACAGGCAACTTTTCACTGTAATACTTCAAGACCTTCTTCTCCCATTGATATGTGTACATATTGTGCTTTTAAAACATTTAATTCAGTGATACATAGTGTATTAACAGAGCTGTGCCATTATCATTACCTGTTTTCAGAATATTTTCATGATTTCAAAGAAGAAATCCAATACCCTTTAGTAGTCGCACCCCACTCCCGTCTCTCTCTAGTGCCTGGCAACCACTAATCTACTTTCTGTGTCTATGAAATTACTTGGCCTGGATATTTTATATAAATGGAATCATATAATGTATGGCCTTTTGTGGCTGGGTTCTTTACTTAGCATGTTTTCAAGTCTCATGTTTTAATGATTCATCTTTATGGTTGAATAATACTCCATTGTATGAATGAATATATATATATATATATATATATATATATATATATATATACCACATTTTGTTTTTCCATTCTTTATTTGATAGACATTTGAGATGTTTTTGCTTTTTGGCTATTTTGAATAATGTTGCTATGAATATTAATGTACAATTTTTTGTGGGTACTTATGTTCAATTATCTTGGGGAAATATACCCAGGAGTGAATTGCTGAATCGTATAGTAATATTATGTTTCACATTTTGGGGAACTGCCAAACTGTTCTTCAAAGTGTCTGCCCCATTTACAAGCCCATAAAATTGCTCCATTTTTAAGGACCTCTGGTTTTCATATAGAAGCACTCAATCGTGATATCATACAACCTTTAGTAAAAGTAAATCAAGTAATTGAGGATCATTTACTTATTCACCCCATTGACTATAAGCAAAGCCATTCTAGCACAATCTTTGTAAATCTGAACCTACTATGCTTTTATTTTCTCTAACGTCCCCTATGGTTTTCAAATCTAAACTTTCACTGCCACTATTTCAATCTTTAGCATCATAACCTTGGTGCCACATTGATCTGCTTGGAGCCCTTCCTGTAGAGGCTTTGCTTGTCCCTAAATCCCTGAGTTACATCAAAGATGAAACATTCCTTCATGAATCACTGTGAGTGTTAAACATTGAAACTCTGCCCCCCTGCCCTGTCCCACATGGCCTCTGTATTGCCAGCCATAAATATAGACATTAAAGTGATTTATAATTCTTGTTACCTTGTTTCAAATTCAAAGTGGGGAAAAAAACAAAAGGAAAGTTATGGAATCAATGATGAAAATTATCAATCTCTCTTCTTAAATGTAGTTTGTTCTATGTAGGTAATTACTTAGAGTAGCAATTGAAGAGAAAGAATTACCTAGCACTGCAAAAGATATCTCTATACCTCTGTTTTAGGAGACTAGTAATTTGAACACTTTTCAGTCTTTCTGATCTATTTTTTTTTAACTGAAGTCCATGGCATCATATGAGATGCAGAAGATGGAGCTAATAAGCCTTTGGCCTGCTTTCTCACCCACATATACCCTATAATTCTTTTTTTTTTGTTTTCAATGACTCGAAAAATAGGATCCTACCATATCCTGTTGGTAATAATTTTACAGTTTAGTGGTACTAAAGGTTACAGTTATTCATGCCTGATATTCAATTGGAGTAGATATTAATAATGCTCCATTTCCTTTTGTTTCCTTAATTTTTTTGTACTAAAAATCACACACTTGCATGCTGTTTTATTGCTGCTTTTTAGTTAATATATGGTCATGGTTTTATTTCTATTTTTCTTCCTTTCTCACATATCTCACAATTTCCTCAGATGTCAGTTTTAAGACTTGAGAAGTGAAGAACAAAGAGGGAAAAAATAAATACTGCTGAATTCCAGCTACATGGAAAGGTGACTGACTGAGTGGTTCCCCAAGGAAGGCATTAACGAGCACAGTAGTAGACACAGCATGCGCATGAAGCCAGAGTGCTCCAGACTTGCCACAGGCTTTAGAATTGAATTTCAAATTCCAAGAGCTGTTTTCTTGGAGGTGCTTTGAGGGATTCGATGAAAGAAAAAACTTTCGGCTATAAGTTGATACAAATCCTGAGGAGATTTTAAAAAGTATTCATAATTGCACAAGCTGTACATATTTCATGTATATTTTGCTCTTTTAGCTTTACTTTATTTGTCCCCATGTGCACACTACGGTGCTGCCCAGGAATTGATAGATTTTGATGGGAACCTGGAATTTTTAAAATTAAAAAAAAGTACGTAAACGTTAACCGTTAGGGCTCTTTTTGTTGCATTTAGGATTTACACGTTGAAATCCCCTGCAGTGAAACTATATTAGATTCCACAAATCTCATAGGTATGATTTCTCTGTTTCCCAGGTCGTCACTGAGTGGTTTCATTGCCAAAGCTGAAATAATGGAAAACAAAACAAAACAAAACAAAAATCAAAATGATCTGGTTAGGAAACACTATTTGGAAAGAACAAAGAATATTAAGTTAAATTATGAGCCTCTCAAGATGATGATGGGTTATATGAGACTAAAGAGTTTTAGGAAACTGGTTTCTAGACGAAAGGAGCATACTTTGAAAACTGTACTTTGCATATTTCATTTTATAACATCATTTGAGTTTAAATGTTTATATTTTATTCCTAATGCATTATGATTAATATATTTAACACTTGAAATTTTGAGATTTAATTATTTAATTCATAAGGAGAGATATACAAAAATCTAATTATAAACTACCTATATACTATGTGTGTACATGTAATATTATATATATATGCTGTGAAAATACGTGTGATTAATTTAGCAAAAATCAGAATAAAAGGTGTTTTCTCTTATTTAATTACCATCTCTATTTTCAGAAAAAGTACATTTATTTCTGATGTAATTACATTCTTTATCCATTATAATGTATTTTGCGGCTCTCTTAGCCATCTGCATATTTCACTGCATTTCAAAATGGTAGTTACAGAGTGAAAGAAAGGAATGCATGCACGGGATAGTATGAATATGCTTATGTCCAAAGATGTTTGAATCTAAGAATGTTTGGGTTTTTAGTAAATTTATACATGTTCTTCATTTTAAAATGAATAAGTATGTCCAACCTGAATCTAGTAATAAGCTTTAAATCACATTGCTCTACCATCAAATATCATTTACTCCATCATCTTTTTTGTGAGAATGAGATATAATATTGACAATACAGGTGCTCCTGGGAATGATTCTTCCCAAAGGTGATGAGACTCTTCCAACCAAGTTTGTTAAGAGAAATACTATTTCAATATTAATATGAATCAATTAAAGTTCCTAATTTTTTAACAAGGAAACAATTATACTTGCCAGATTATTTGAAAGGACCAATTATTGTCTTTGGTACCATAACAAAGATTAGCTTCTAAGTATTTCTAAATAACAATCACAATGTTACTACATTCAAAAGGATATATAAGGCATGTACTTCAGAATAATCACATTGCTAAAGGAAAAAAAAAAATCCATAGTTTTGCATTCTGTCTATATATCATAAGTGAGTGTTACTCATAAAGGATTTGAACTCCCAAGCATATGTGTCCACTTCCACCATTAAAGTGGATTCAGGTGCTTGGCATGACTGTGTCCAGACAGGCTTTCTTCAAATAATTGATGGCTATGGTCTTATTGCCCCATTGAACTATATCTGGATACACTCACCTTGCTTTTACAAGAGTTTCATACAATTCCATGGTCTGCAGAACACGTGGGAAGTATCTCATAGTTTCTTTTATTAATACAAACTATTTTCACTTTCTCCAATGACAAATTACCCAAAATTAGGTTTTTTACACCTATTATGACTGAACATGATGAGAAATTCATGTGTAGACCACAGGTGTGTATTGCAAGCATTGTGAACCCTTCGGTGGCAAGGGAGATGACTGTTAAAAATGCAAGGACCAAGCAGAAAGAGGGAGTCATTTATTTTGGTGGGAGACAGAAATCCTAGTTTTCAAAATATTAAAAAATATAAAGTATTTGTTGTTGATATTCTCAATAGCCATTTTAAATTCTACCCACAACTGTATTCTTTAAATATATTATGAAAGAGTGTTTGAAAACATCCGTTGTGTCACTATATTAAAAAAGAAAAAAAGCCTACTTTTTTATTATGATTTCAATATCCATTGAACGCCAAAAATGTGGCATGCGTTGCATGCAGCAGAGCAATACCCAGTGAATGCACCATTTACAGGAAACAGAGAAAATCGATCTTTGTGAGAAGACAGGAATGTAATTCATGCACACGCTGATACCACATGTCCAACATGTATTTGACACATTCATTTGTAATTACTCTCACCTGGCATTGTTAATATTGTCGGTAATTTTCCATAGATGACAACTGCTCTCCTACAAAATCTACCAAAGGAACATAAAATGGTCTGACTGGTGAAAAGATGTTGACAAGGAACAAAAATATATTTAAAAAATAAATTTCTACCAACATCCAACAAGAGCTTTATGCAAAAATTGCTAGGAAAGCAAAAAAAGATTAATAAAACTGAAAGGGACTTAAGCCTCTACTTTGGTTGGGTCATTAATGCATTTATTAAAGAGAATTCTGATTTGTTTACTCTTCTCTAGGAAAAAACACATGACTGGTTACTGTTAATAAGTTTTGTTATCCAATACAGGGTAAAGCCAGTCTCTAAATTATATGAGTTGTCAGCACTATCTTTCCACATACCAAGAACACTATGAATATTCTAAGTGTCTAAAGTATAATAAAATAAAATAGACTAATACTCCATGAAATAATCATAGTAATGAGCAACATTGCATTTACTGAGTAACCATTTATCAGATCAATATCTTATTCTTTAATTGTAGCTATGGGAATATAACACTCTCCATTGAGATGTATTCCTACAAGAAATATACAATATAGAATAAAATATATTGTAGAAATTCTAACATATTTTACTTTAATTATAGTCTACCATAGTGTTAATCAAGATAGAACAGATTGCAGTAAGTAATTATTTAGATTTGTCAACACCAATAAAAAGGAAACTAATTCTCATAATTTTCATGTTTGTTTCATTTTATTTGAATGTAAGACAATCTTTTATATTAAGCGTGCCTTACATTCAAGTGTGCGTTAAAGAAAATACTTATTTTCTTTAACTTTATTGAAGACTTTTAAAACTATTAAGTTATTAAATTGATTCACAGACTTTCTCCAAATAATTGCAATTTATTAAATTCATCTCATGACCCAAAATCCTTCCTTTAGAAATTAACATAGCAAAAATATTTAAAATCCAACTCGATACTATGTTTCACAAAATATGCAAACACAAAGTATTGAATAGTTGACCCTGTAATCAACCTAATAATGAATTAGTAAGTTGTAAGGGTTTTTTCCATAGTCATTTCAAAATGGATAATTTCAATGAAAATTGCAAGCTCTAAAATGAAATAATAATGTCTGTCAAAATATAATGGGGTCACAGAAATTTCTGACTTGAAATTCCTAACTTAAAAAAATTGTCAAGATACATTTTTCAGACTAAAATATGAAATTTCTGTTTTGGTTGTAATTTTTCTCAGAATCATGAAAAAACAGACCAAAAAATTGAAATCAATGCTCCAAGAATGTAAAATCTGTTTCAAATTAATTTTTAGAATACAATAGATATGAATAAACAAACAAAACACCACATTCTGCAAAGGAGGTTACACAGATTTTCTTCAGAATATACATAACAAGAAAGCAGAAATAATTTCCTATGTATGTTCCAAATAATAAGTAATACCAAATACTCAGTAAATATTCCTTTGATAACAAACCAGCACAAGTACCAGCTGTTAAAAATAAGAACTGAACATACAGTATTTCAATTAGTCATCTTGTAATAAGTTTTAAATAGTTATCTGTTTTGTTGGGGTGGTTCTTTGTGAGATATGCATGATTAAGCATAAATGAGCAAAGTAAAACATTCAGGCCTGGAAAAATTTCTATTAAGGCAAAAAATTTTTCCTTCTTAAAGAGGTATAAATCAATCTCTCAGAATGTTTAAAAATCATACTGATAAAAAAACCATAAGGCAAATTATTTAAAGGTTAGTATATCATAATTCATGTTCTGCCAATTGAATATTTATTAGCATTTATTTACATAATACTTATTAAAATACTTTAAAATGTTGTGCATAGAAATGAAAGCCACCAGAGATCAACAGTCCTTTATTATACACAAAGGAATTTTACTATTAGATTTTAGCCAACATAATTTTCTATTCAAAATAATCTCAGAAAAATAAAAGATATACCAATGCAAACATTATGATGTTGTAGTCTAAACTGGCTGCGGGTGTTTCTTCTTGCCTGTTGGTGAGCCTATGAGTAGACTTTCTCACAGCTGTCTGTGAGTGCCTACTGTTTTGTCTCAAAACTTGTAGGGACAGGTGCATCTTGTCATTCTCTGGTATACATTACAGGCCTGCCTTGTTTATCATTCCGAGATGAGCTCCGATGTGAGTAGCACTGACAGTGCAGAGTATAATCAAATGCCCTTTGAACTGAGGGAGCAGAATTTATTGGTGTTAACACATTTTACAGTTTATAGGGTCATCAACCCCTTAGCTTCTGAGACTTTTTTCAAGCTTAGCTTTGAATCTATAAATACAACTGATTTATATCACAAAATTGACCTGAAATATGATGCTTAGTGTTTCATTTCATAAATTCCTTACCTCATAAATGAAGTATAATTTTAAAAGTTAATAAGATTATGTTTTTCCTTCCCTCATCCATCTCAGCAAGGAATAGTAGCATAATTCTTCAATAGCGCCTTTTCTGTATGGGAGAAAAAGATGTTTTAACATAAATGTAGTTAATTTTTGAATCACTGCATTATAATTGTAAATGTGTCTCATAAGCCCGAATTAACTTAGTGTTATCTCTGAAAAATATATAGTAGATAAATAGAGATGCTATTTTCAAATACTATAGAAATTTCATGTGTTCTTTTTTATTTTTAGTTATCACATGCTATAACTTTTTTATTAATATGAAGAAACTTAAATTTAAAATACTGTAAGCCATGTTTCTGCTTAACTGAAGTCTGAAGTTAGAGGTCTAAAACAAGAACAAAGCACAAATAAATGGGATCCAAATCTTAGAGGACATCAAAGAGGGAATGTTAAAGAGTCCTTTCTTGTGTAACCTAGCTATTCTAGTTAGCTTACAATCATTTCGATCTTTCTAAATAAAACTGCTTTTTGTAATAAAAATTTTGAATAAAATAAAATACTGAGTATTTGCACTTTAATGTGGGATCTGGGATTTAAATTATTAATTGATGAGAAGACAAATACTTTTAAGCAAAAACTTGAAAGTATTTTTTAAATTATAAGAAAAAAACAAAAAACAGTAACTATACCTGAAGTTACCTGATAATGAAGTCAGTTGAATTGAATTCAATGATATATATAATTTAATCATAATATAGGTCTCATTTACTCAGATTGAAGCTAGTTACCTTAAACTCAATTAGAAACAAAACCATATTATTTCCAGTACCATGGAATTTGTTCATCGTAATGGCTGTTTAACCTTAAAGGTCTAATTAAAGAATTTTCTGATTTATGCAATTGAATTATTTTCTTACTTTTTAATGTAGGATGAATCCAAAAGATATAAAATATCATGAACTATGTGCACTTGACAAGTTTATTGCTTATACACAACAGAAACTAACTCTGGCTAACTGGAGCCAAACAGTACTTTCACTGGGAAGTTATTAAACAACTCAAAATTTTGGAGACATGTGGGCAAATAAAGCTAAAAGAATAGGAAGGAACCAAGGGAATGTAGGTCATCAAGAACCCAGACAAAATTAAAATGCTATCCCTGGTGCAACCACAACTGTATCCTCCCCACTGAGCCCCTCAACTTTCAACCTCACTGCCTTCTCTTCTATGGAACATTAGCAAAATAGCATCTGCCACAGCAGCTAACTCTCCTCCTTCACATTAGTAGATTCAGGCTAAAAGTCTCAGAGAGAAGACACTTCATATGGGTTTGGGGATATCAATCCCATATTGGAAGCAAAGCCTCAAAGTCTTATGCATTCAATTGTGTATTGACAACATCTGTTTGTTGCAGTCCTAATCCTAAGTACTTTAGAATGTGACCTTTGGAAATAGGGTCATTAGAGACATATTTAAATATAATAATAGTTTAGATGAGGTCGTGCTTGAGTAAGGTGGGCTCTTAATTCAATATGATGCACGTCCTTATTAAAGGGGAAATTTGGAGACAGACAAGCACACAGGGTGAATTCCATGTGAATATTAAGGCAGAGATTGGGTGATTCAAAGTAACTACCTAACAAACTATGACAGAAGCAAAGTCTCACATATCAATATTACCTTTGAATGTAAACAGTCTAAATGCTGCACTTAAAATATATAGATTGGCAAATTGGATAATAAGCGAAAAACAAAGAGAGACCCAATCATCTACTGCTACAAGAGACCCACCTAATCTGTAAGGACACCCTCAAGCTCAACGTAAAGGGGTGAAGAAAGATACATCATGCAAATGGAAAACAGCACAGAGCTGGGGTTGCTATTCTTTTATCAGATAAAACAGATTTTAAACCAGTAACAGTTAATAAAAAGACAAAGAAGGGCAGTGTATTGGTCCATTTCTACGCTGCTCATAAAGACATATCCGAAACTGGGCAAACCGAAGAATTCAAAAGATAGTCAGCAAACCACCAGAAGTTGGGGTAGAAGCATGGAACAGAGTCTTCCTCATAGCCCTCAGAAGGCCCACAGAACCCAATCCTGCCAGTGCCTTGGTCTTAGACTTCTGTCCTCCAGAAGTAAGACATTTCTTTTGTTTAAGCCATCCAGGTTGTGGTACTTTGTTACATCAGCCTCAGCTAACTAATGTACCCCATCTCCAGCCAAGACTCCAACAGAAGCAAATTCTCCAGACAAGCAAAGGGTTTATACACTGAGCATATTTTTTTTTTCTGAAAAATTGTTTTTTTAAATGTTTTTCAAGATGGTTAACTAGGGAAGTCAGATGCTAGTTGTATTCAGAAAGACTAAAGTTACAGGTGAATGTTTAGGTTCCAAATGAGGGAAGAGAGACAGGACCTGTTGGAGAGCCCATGGGAAGAAGCTGGGGCACAGAAAAGGAAAGCAGCAAGAGTCTGGCAGAGATCAACCCCAACGGAAAGGTAGATGGGGGTGCTTCTCTGCTCTCCTCACTTTCTTGACAATCTGCTGACCACCAAATTGTCAGTGAGCCCCTCTGCTCTCACAACTTCAGGCAAACAGGAATTCTCAAAACCACACAAGTACATGGAAACTAAAAAACTTGCCCCTGAGAAATTTTGGGGTAAACAAATAAATTTAGGCATAAATTTTAAAAAAAAATTGAAAACAATGAAAATAGAGACATAACAAACTAAAATCTCCAAAGCAGTGTAAAGACAAAAATTTGTGGTGCTAAATTACTACATCAAAAAGATAAAAAGATCTCAAATTAACCACCTAATATTGCACTTCAAGGAACTACAAAACAAGAAAAAAACAAACTCAAAGCCAGCAGAAGAAAATAATTTAAAAAGATCAGAACAGAACTAAAGGAAATGAAGAGCAAAGAAATTATACAAAGGATCAACAAAACAAAAAGTTGGTTCTTAATTTAAAATGATGACAAAAAAGACGAGAAGATTCAACTAAACACAATCGGAAATGATAAGGTGATACTACAACTGATACCAGAGAAATACAAAAGATCATCTTAGTTTCTAGACTACTATGAACACCTCTATGTGCATAAACTAGAAAACCTATAGAAAATGGATACATTACTGAAAATATACAACCTCCCCAGATTAAACCAGAAAAAAATTGAAATTGAATGAGAAACAACAAAAAAAAAATCTGCCAACAAGAAAAAACCCAGGACCAGATGCATTCATACCCATAGTCTACCACACAAAAAGAAAATCTGGTACCAAACTACTAAAATTATTCAGAAAATCCAGGAAGAGTTATTCCTCCTTAAAACATTCTATGAAACCAGTATCATCCTCATACCAAAATCTGGCAAGGACACAGCAACAAAAAAGGAAAACTACAGGCAAAATCACCTGATGAACATAGACACAAAAATCCTTAACAAACTACTAGCAAACCAAATTCTGCAGCACATCAAAAAGAATTCATCACAATCAAGTTAGCTTTATTCCAGGGATGTAAGGATGGTTCAATATATACAAATCTATAAATGTGAAACAGAATTACAAACAAAAACCATATTATCATCTCACCAGTTGCAGAAAAAGCATTCAATAAAATTCAAGATCCCTTCATGATAAAAGTCCTCAACAAATGAGGCATCAAACATACCTCGAAATATAAAGATATATATAATTCTAATTCTGTGAAAAGTGATTTGGTAATTTCATAAGAATTACATTGAATCTGTAGATTCCTATGGGCAGTATAGTTCCTAAGCCCACAGCCAACACTATGTTTAATGGGGAAAATTGAGAGCATTTTCCCCTAAAAACTAGAACAAGATGAGAAAATTTACTCTCAATCACTCCTATTCAACATAGTACTGGAAGTCCTGGCCACAGCAATCAGTCAAAAGAAGGAAAGGTGTCCAAATTGGACAAGAGGAAGTCAAATTATCTCTGTTCGCTGATGATATGATCTTATACCTAGGCAATTCTAAAGATTCCTCCAAAAAAACTCCTAAACCTGATAAATGATCTCAGTAAAGTTTCAGGATACAAAATTAATGCTCAAAAATCAGCTGCATTTCAATACACCAACATTCAAGCTGAGAACCAAATCAGAAGCTCAATCCAATTTACAACAGCCACACGCAAAAAAATAAAATACCTACAAGTACATTTAACTAAGGATGTGAAAGATCTCTACAAGAAAAACTGAAAAACATTGATGAAAGATATTGTAGATGACACAAGCAAATGTAAAAACATTCCACGCTCATGGATAGGAAGAAACAATATCACTAAAATGACTATACTGCCCAAAGGAATCTACAGATTGAATGCTGTTTCTATCAAATTACCAAAATCATTTTTCACAGAATTAGAATAAATAATTCAAAAATTCATATGGAGCCAAAAAAGACCCTGAATAACCCAAACAAAGCTAGAGGCATCACATTATGTGACTTCAAACTATACTACAAGTCTATTGTAACCAAAACAGCATAGCACTGATATAAAAATAAACACATAGATCACTGGAACAGAATAGGAACCCGGAAGTAAAGCCATTTACCTACAACCAACTGATCTTCACAAAATTGACACAAATAAACAATGTTCAAAGAACACCCTATTCAAAAAATAGTGCTGAGAAAACTGGCTACTCACATGCAGAAGAATTAAACTGGACCTCTGTCCCACTCTATATACAAATATTAACTCAAGATAGATTAAAGACTCAATTGTGAGACGTGAAATTATAAAAATCCTAAAAGAAGACCTAGGAAAAATTCTTCTGAACAGTGACCTAGGAATTTATTACTAAGACCTCATAAGCAAATGCAACAAAAACAAACGTAGACAAATGGGACTTAAGAAAACAAAATCAACATTCTACACAGACAACTTACAGAATGGGAAAAAAATTTTTGCAAACTGTGCGTCTGAGAAAGGACTAATATCCATAATCTCCTAGGAACTCAACAAACTAACAACAACAACAAATAACCCTATTAAAATGTGGGCAAAGAACATGGACAGACCCTTATCAAAAGAAGACATACAAGTGGTCAACAAACATGTGAAA